TGCACAGTTGCGTTCGTTTTTTTTCGCTACACCCGAGGACCCACGCAAACACAGTGTATAATTTATACGGCTATAATAATTTTTACAAAATGACCACCGATACCCATCGCCGAAAAAATAGAAAAAACATAGATGGGCGATCAACCTAAACATTTCAGAAATAATAATGTAGACTTATACCTGTAAAAGCTTTAAATTATTACCATAATCTTTAAGTATGATAATCCAACATCTAACTTATAGTAGGTACACAAACTATCTGTATATTATATATTACAATAGCATAATAGAAGCTAAGAATGAATAATTTCGAGCGAAGTGATTACAATTTTATCTTATCAACTAAAATAAAGTTTTTATTAATAAAAACATATATATTATATGATTTTGGGCTAGGTGCTGATTTTCGGGAGGCCAATTTTTGGAACGCTTTGTTTATTTACATAGAAATAAAAATAATAAAACAAATTTTAATTGAATTCTTAACAAAATGTAGTATCCTACATTGTTACTTGATGTTTATTTAGCACATCTATGATTCCTCAATTTTCCTTGCAAAGGAAAAATATCTAGTAACAGCTAGCTTTAATCTAAGCCCTGATACATATAAGTATTTTTTTTTACCTAAATACGTGGAATATCCTCAAACAGTAATGCATCACTGCATACGACATACATACCTATATACGTGTGAAGTCATATATTACGAGTAACTGTTAAAAAAATAAAATACAATAATTAATTTAATGAGGACCATAGATCATAATACTGAAATTGTGCAACTAAATATTTACCTTATCTTGTAAATTCATTCTTCTGTTTCTTTCATGGTTTGCCGAATTGATTTTTATTATTATCTTGTTTACAAACAATTGCATGACCTATGCCTTCCGTGATGAACGTCCTTAAATAGTTAAATGTACAGAAGTGAAATGAATTTATATTTTACTGTCGTCAACATTGCATAACCATAAAAGAAAAATACAAATTTGTAACTATCGATAGAAATTGTGTATCTATTTAAAAAATATATAAAAATATACTTTAATTTTAATTCATTTTTGGAGTATAATAAAATATATTCTGATATTTGATAATAACGAATAACACAATAATAGTTTAGCTCATTCAACATTTCTGGAAATGGTTTTATATTACATATTCGTCATCATAATTATACTATATAGATTATAAAAATAAGATAAAATGGGAACAGAACAATACTGATTTTAAAATACCTAGGGTATTTAAAAATATGTTTCTATTTTAATTTTGATAGTGATAACAATTAGTTTATAAAATTATGTTAACAATATAGTTGAAAAATTAACATTATTTACAATATTCGATATCTATAGTCTATACTATAATAATATAATGTATATAAATATAATACTAGTTTACACAAGTTTATACAATATTATCATATTACGTAAACTATATTACTAAAACTCCTGTCGATTTGTATTATTTAATACAACATAGTCAGCGTCACAAATTAATTGAAATTATAAATAGATTCTATTATCATAAATTATTTGTATTAATAATATTATCAACGGTAACCAGTATGTATAATACTGCAATATTATTATATAAATTGTATAGGACTATATAAGTATAGTAGTACTCTAATGTCCAACGTGGAAACATGGAAAATGTGTTTCGTACACTTGGGGCAGCGACTCGGCAAAAAAAATATACCATTAGACTATTGACAAAAGGCTCGCAAAACAATGCAGCGATATCTTATCAATTTATAATACACTGAACATTTTAACGCTAAAAACGTATTTGGCTATTTAAGTACAGACGTTTATTAATATTTAATACGATGTTAGTGAGAAGGATACAATTATTAAATTCTATAATTTATTAAAATATAAGAGCGCTAGTATTCTACAATCGTGATGGAGTAAAAAAGTTCAAGTATTTTCTACGTGGAACTTTAATGCACAACTGGGTAATTATTTTGAATCAGTTTTATTGTTTTTTTATATACATGTGTGCAATATAATTTTTAACAAATAGCATTTTTAATATAAATTATAAGTCAAAAGATTCATCAATGTTTTCTATTTTTTTTTATTATGTGAGTTTTTGTTTTTATTTTATAGGTAATATGCATCAATGTATTATTACGCTTTGGATTTCAGATCGTTAATTCTTAGTTCTTACTAACCTTGGATTTTAACACAATGTTGTTAGATCATTGATTTTAGTATTCGGTTAGGTTATTATAACAATCAAGAAGCACACGCAATTATAAGTCGCCGGCGAACAACGTAATGTAGACAATTATTTTCTACTTAGGTCTGAGTAGACGGTTTGTGTAAAAATAAGTTTTGAATTTATCAACACTAAATCGATTGACATTGCTCGTTATGTCTGGGTATCTGCGGCCTGTAGGTAGGCCTACATATTCAGCAGTTTTTTTTTATTCCTCGACCACAGATCGCAATATAGTTCAAAACACCGTTGTTGCATTATTGAAGTATTCGAAGTATGTGAAATTGGCTATCCAAACGCATGGTAATAAGTAATAACTGATAAACCAATAAGACGTAATAAGTCATAACTGTGAAATCGGATAAGCAATTTATTCTCGTTTGAACTCGTCGCAATTTAATGATTGAATTTCATACATACTGCATACATTTCTATGTGGCGCGTTTAACCGTTTTCCACTTAATACGGAATTTTATTAATTACAGAATAAGATGTTCAATAAATGTAAATAATAATCTTATTGATATAGTATTTGTTTTTTAATTTGCAAACTTGCTCATTTACAATTTGTCAAAGTTGTACTGAAATTAATTTGTAATATCATCGGTTTATCTTGTTGCTGAATAACTAATCAGTTATTAATTATTCATTTTCCATACTTTATACTACACACTATTGCAGTCAAAACATGAGTTGGGAGTTACTAAATAATAATAACTTTTTTTTTTGATTTTTATAAAAATACAAATGCTATTACCTACTTATTGTTTACATTTCTATAATATTAATCTAAACATTTGAACAGAACATTCATTTTCTGTGATGACCTTGAACTTCAACGTGTTAGTGTTATGTTTTTAAGCAAAGGAAATGCGAACGTGTCAAACCTATTGATTCAAAAATAATTAATACTCAACATTAATCCCGGGAGTAATAAATTGTTATTTATAATTTTATCTGAATAGTTATAGTATAATACCAAAATGTTATAATATTAGAAAAATAGCAAAACCCCGAAAATTATATGATATTTTAAAATCAGATCCATTCGGAACTAATATTTAGTCGTTTTTAAAGTGATTTAATAATTACAAATAAATAATAATACAATATAATATGTACATGTTCAAATGTTCAATGGCGACAAAATCGTTCTCCAAACGTGCACATTGATACGCGGTAAGTAAAATACTATCGAAACATTACTATTATTGTTGTCATTGAAAGTTGATAAAATAGGTAGGAAATCTTTTAAAAATCGGCCTGGAAAACCGACGACGACGATCCCGCGATCGTGTGTAAACAGAAAACATGTTACGCGTGTCATTTTTCCTTTTCTTTTTCACTTCATTTTAGGCACCACTCCAGTTTGAATATTCAAATATTGTTATGTGTGTGTGTGTGTGTGTGTGTATATAACATACGTGTGACGAGAGAGAGAGAGCAGAGAACTCGCTGCGAGAGAGACGAAAACACACACACACATACACATACATACATAAATACGAAAAGTCATAAAAAACAGGATACTCAAAACACACACGCATACACACACATGCACATGCACATGCGATATGCGTAAAACGCACACACACACACACACACACACACAAACGCATCCGCGTAGGACTTTTTTCGGAGTAGGAGCAGTGCACACACGACGCACACACACACACGAATACACACACTCTCGCCTGGAGAGAGATAACGTATGGTGAATTGTACGTACATAATATACAGGGTGATTCCAAGCATGCTCATTGCTCACCCCCCATCTTTCATTTAATAATGAATTTATTCGAAATCTGATTTTAGGAGTATTAAGTACAATAAAAATACCATATATTGTTTTCTCATTCTTGAGATTTTTTTGTACTGCTTAAATCTTAAGGAGAGCTTTGAGGAAATACAAACTCCTATTTTCCAAATGAGAACACCCCTTCCTACTGAAAATTATGCACAATTGTAAATATGTGAAATTGTGCACTAAGACTAATTATAGGTCTATGATAATGGGTTTGGAAGACATGAGGGCTATGATGATATAAAATTGTATTGAAGTGATATTAAATATTAATATTGTTCCATCGACATTTTAATACTGGATGTCTAGATCCAATTTATTTTGTATTTGTATAAACCATTTTCAAGGATTGTCATTCCCCGCATAATTTACGATAATCAAGGGAGGGGTTCTACTTTGAAAAACAGAAACTTGTATCCCCCCCCCCCCGGACATTCCCTAAGCCGTAGCACAGAAAATCTCGAGAATTCGAAACTCTGGACACCAGTAGTATATATTTTGAGAAATCCCAAAATCTTAAAAAAATTAATTATATCAAACGAAAAAATTGGGGTGAGCTCGCCCGGTGAATCACCTTGTATAATAATATTATTATGTGCATGTACACACAAACGCAACTATTACTACGATTGTACTACTATTCGATGACGGGGCGGCGGCTTCGGCGGGGCTGCTCGGGGGGTGGGGAGAAAAAAGTGCGTGAGTCGCGTGCGTGTGTGTGCACCGCCGCCGCCGACCAACCCGTTTTTTTTCGGGAGAGAGAGAGTGTGTGCGTGTGCGTGCGAACGATACGTCGTCGCAACGTGCGTACGGGCGGCGGGGTGGGAGAGAGAGTGCGAGAGAGTGCGCGGCGGTGACGTTGCGCCGGAGAGTTTGTGCGAGCGGGAGAGAGTGCACGTGAATGCGTGCGTATACGAGTGCGGCGGCGGCGGCGGCGGCGGCACATTATTATACGCGCGCGCGCTGCTCGCCGAAAGAGAGTTGCATTTATTCGGGCGCACCCTGTCGCCGGCGTTACAACCACCGCACTGCACACGCACGTCGCTCGCACACACCAACACACGTCACGCACACCGACAGTCGGCCCGGAGTCGAGAACACGACCGATACGCGTATACGGCCCCCGCCGCGAACGTCTTACGACTCTCTCTTTCTATCTTTCACCACTTTCGTCGCTGTTGTTAAATGTATTTTATATCATACTCGTATTTATTATGTTTTATTTATTTTAATAATATTATAGACAATTATTGTTTAACTAGATAATTTGAATTTTTTTCTTATATTATTCTGCGAAAACACAAAAAACGAGAAGGGAAAAAGTTGTTGATGTATATGTCATAAAAGTTGTTTATTCGTTCGTTTGTTTTTTTCTCTTTTAAAGTTTATCGTCGACACCGTAGTACAATATTTCGTTTGCGTACAGAATTCGCGTCGAATCGCCTGCTCCGGAGTGTGCTGGATGGGAAATCTGCAGAGGTCTTCCGGCTGACCCAGGAAATGCATCCCGGTACGTATTCACAAGTTCTAATTGGATTTTATTACACACACTTTGTATATTAATAAATAAATCGTGTCGTAGTTACGATTAATTTATACTTTGTACTGTGCATGCGGGTCGTATAGCCACTTGACGGGGTTGGCGAAAGTGTTCCCCGCCAAATATTAATTATGGAAATCACCGGATACCGCGGGTTGCATTTACTTTATTCAAATATTCGCTTATGCAAATAAACCGGTTAACCCTAATATTGTACCCTATACGGGTCACTGAAAATTTCTCGCGCTCCCATGTCCCGTATGAGAACCGTTTTTTTTACTTGCAGATGGCTTGTTATATATTACATTGTCTCTCTAGACCAACGGTCTTGTAAACTATCTCTGATATTAAAAACATAATAAATAAGTGGTAGTAAATCAACGGCTATTAGAGAATTCGATATTCATATTATTATAGGTAATATATATATTCATATAGGGCCTGTGACTTCATACTCGACTATTTTTGTGTATTTCGTAAGCTTTCAAACAAAAAATAGATATTTTTTCGTTACCCATTTCCTTTGATTGTTGTTTTATAAATACTCAGTGTAATCGGCAATCGTCGGTTGTCAAACAAAGTTCTATGTTTACGATCCTACACCTGTCATATACACGACACCTGTTTGCTTTTACCACATTTTAAGAAAGTTTTGCTTGTATTCAAAGTAAAGTTTGATTTTTGTTTTAAATTTAAGAATTTTAATTGGTTTTTTGTGCCTTTGTACAGTTTATTGTTAATTTTTAACGTTACGATATGATTTGTATGTCGATGAGTAGTATCGGAAATAAAACTAATAAAATACCATCCATAATCTAAAATTTTAAAATACTACCAAGATACATACGTACATGATTAGGTTCCGGTGATGTACTTCTGGTGTGTCTAAAAGTAAATTATTTTTTGCGTTATTAGCGATATTCACTGGAAAAGGTGTGTTTCCAACCCCTCCGCACCTAATTTTCGACTGCCTCCTCGACGCTATCCTCGGTTAACCGTGCGCACTTCCTATTTCCCACCGATCGCGATGACGAGTATACAATTATACTATACTTGTTAGCTGTTTCTATTACCGAACCATTAATACGAGTATAAAATTTAAAAATATTTATCATAATAGGGCGAATAATAATTTTATGTTTAAAATAATTACAAATCAAGTAATTTCCCGCCTATCATAGTTCGTGAATGGTTGTTTATTTGATGATAAAATTTAAATTGGCGAAATTCAAACTCTAGAATATTAAAATAATTATCTGCTTCTACGAATAATTGATTTTTGACACTCTAAGATAACGAAATGGCGATTATGAGCATAGCGGGTGTGGGTGTAGGTACTTTAATTTTTAGAATAAAATAATATTTTTTCAATAGTGACTATTTTAATGAAAAAAATATTAATTATTATATTTTTATGTGTTCTATAGTCCATTGCCGTTTGTTTTTAATGTGTAGGTACAAAATATGTATGTCTACAGGCCGTGGCTATAAATAGGTAAAACGCGTCTCTTCATTGAAGACTCATAACTGCAACTATAATATTGTATTGTTTTTTTTTGCAAGAGCTGGTAGGTTTTTCGTCATGAAATAATTAAACATATAATTATTATTGTATCTATAGTTCAAATTTATTGTCATCTCCTATTTTCTAAGGTATATTATATATGTATTCTAATTTCTTATACATTTTTAGCTCCCGAGTGGAGAATGCTTCCTGTTTACTTGAAATGTCCTCACCATATTCTTATGGGTAATTGAGGGTGCGCCATTACTCATTAATTCTAAATTTACATTAACGTATTCGCTTTCAAAATATAATGTTAATAATTTAATATAAGCTTTTGTTCATAGACAAATATTAGGAACAACATCGCATTATTCACTTTTGGTTTTTAATTTAAATCGCCGGCAAGAATATACCATATTACTTGTAAACTAAAAAATTACATTTTGTGTAAAATTCAATTTTGTTTCATAGAAGTAGTTTTTTATGAACTTACAATTCTTTAATTCTACGTTTAGTTAATCGTATTTTATATTGTAAGATAATTTGCGGTTTTATTTGTTAAATTGTCATCAGGTACAGCTAAATTGAAAGGATATTTTGTCATGCAATATTTTTATTGTATTCAAAAAGTAATGAAATAAAATATCATAAAATGTACCTGCCTTCAACCAATTTTTTTTAACATTTAATTAGTTAAAGCCTTATGCCGGGTTGCATATAAACATTGATTAATTTAATGATTCACTAACAATCATTTGCTACTTAAACATGTTGAATGGACATTAGCTCAACATTGATTAAATAAATGTTCGCCCGTTGTTTGTACAACTAGAATAAAAATTTAAAATTTAATAAATACAAAACTACAATCAGGAACCATTTTTTATACCTTGATTTTGTAGATCATAGTAAATTGTGATAATATCTCGTAATATTACAGTTACGCAGTTGTTTTTTTGAACACGGTACAAATGTGTATTCATAATATATAATATATATAAAATACGGATATGGATGGATATTAGATTAAGCGTTCTGTAAATTTAAGTATTATAATATAGATTTTAGACAGGGTTTTGTCATTGATACTAAATAAATGCTATTTAATGTTAATTTACTAATGAAAGTGTTTGGTTCATTTTCTTGAGAACACTTAGAAACGGGCTTAACTTAAAATTGAACTGTCACTACTCAAGAATTGTTACGGCGGTTGAAAGTTTTCTGTTTACATTTGTCATCAATTAACTTACGGATCGATATTTACGAAACGTTTTGAGTCTTTAGGGGTGACCACAAAAACTCATCGATTGACAAAGTCAACTAAAATGAAACCAGCGGGATACTCGGTCGGCGTCTCCACCTCCCCGTGTCAAAACATGACATATTTTGTAAACTACAAATAAGATAATTTTTTGAAATAGGTGGTACCGCGCCCACGACGAAGACAAAAGTAAAAAATAATACCTGCTGGAAATAACAAATAAATATAATGTATGGTAATCATAAAGTACCGTTTAATATTTGAATACACATCGGTTTACACAAGTCAAATGATTTATTTGATGATTATTATTTTTGGCAAGGGTTTATGGTGTTTCCAGACAACGAGTGAGCAGGTAAAAATGGGAAAGACACCCTCTGTTTCGCCAGACCCACGTTCCAGACACGATTGTCGTGTTTCGCAATTTTTTTTACACACGCCGATGTCTACCTACTTAAAACGTGAAAAATAGTTGCCACTGGTTGTGATGGGTGGGAGGGGTCCGTCTGGTCTGGCGGACTGTACCTAAAATACCGTGTCCCGTTCGAGGGTTGTTATGTCTGGGGCCGATTCCGTATTCGCGATGCCGTTATTGTATAAAAAAACGTTTTGTTATTATGCGGGTGTGTGTGTGTGTGTATACAGAGTGTTTCAATTGTTTAACGAAACATTTCTTGGGTTTAAACAAAAATACATATTTAAATCATTACAACATCATATAAAATGTATTACTGTTTGAAGATAATGATATTATTCGATATTAGTATATTCTAAATATTTTGATACAGAGTATTATCTTTTCCTATGTGTACCCCCTTTATCACGTTTGTTCTAAATTCATAGGTAATATAATAGGTATAGAATTAAATATATTTATGTCATATTCATATAACATATTAAGCTTAATTTACCTGACGGTTGTATGAAATAAATTAACGTTGTACAATATGCCTAGTCGATAAATTAATATATCTACATTTTGATAAGTTTCATCTACCCAGTATAATAACTAATAATCTCTACATTTGAAGATTCATCAACTACACTCTGTATATTTATTTGATAGTTGGTAATGTTATATTGTTGTGTAGGAGTTGTTGATCAGACTTTTGAAACATTATTCATACAAAAAATAAAATTATCAAATATGATGGTATGTTTTTTTTAATTATATTATATTATTATGAGAACATACTGTAGACAATTGGGGTTGTCGTTGTATATACGGTTCATAGATATAGGGTAGACGAATGATGTTATGGTCTGTCGCTTATTCATTTTTTTTTTCAAATGTCAAACGATGGTAACCAAAACACAGGTGTCTTTTCTTTTATGTAACTATTATAATGAATTGTGTATTCTATTTTCTCCATCATGGGAAACACATCCAGACACATTTATGTTGGAATTTAAATTTGTTTTCTAAGGCGAATCATCAGTTATTACTCTTATAGATTTGAGATTTATCAATGAGTTGGCATTGTGTCAAAACAATCATAGTGTTGGTTACGTTTTTATCTAGAGGTATAATTTTAAATTTGTTTGCAATACAATTGAATTACATTTTTGTGAAATGGTATTTGCCATGCTTTTTGCTATTTTTCGGGGGCTTTTTTATTCAATCAAAAATTAAATGATAAACATATTATGTCAAACGATTGACGTCGATGTTTAGATTTATATTTCGTAAGTTTTAATACTTTGAAGTAGTTTCAATGGACATCGTCTTCAAGCAAGTCCATGGATATTTTTTATATATATTACTTATTGTATTTACTATTTAGTATGTACTGTGTACAATTTTAAAGTTTTATCTTTCTTAATAATATAAATAATACAAATAAAAAGTTAAATAGGTGGTAACTAAAGGAAGGTGGGAGGTAGGCTATAAACAGTCGTTACAGTATACGTATAAGTATGTATACTGTAACGTAGAAGTATGCAGTCCAATACCTATTTAATTTTATTAAAAAAATAAACAATTTTTAATATTATAATTAGTCATTTATATTAACAAATATAAGATTATGTATGTAATAGATTATTAACAAATCGTTAAAAAATATAACTAATTTATGCATTTATTTAATGTTTAGATTTTTGAAAATTCAAATTGATGAGCAGACATTAAATTAAATTTTATCAAAATGACTAACAACCATTTGAATACGATTTCTGGACAAGACCAACAGTACTGTTTGAGATGGAATAATCATCAGACAAATCTAACAAATGTATTTGTTCAATTATTTCAATCTGAAGAATTTACCGATACTACACTATTTTGTGAAGGTGGACCACCTGTCAAATGTCATAAAATGGTATTGGCTGCATGTTCGTCATACTTTCAGTCAGTATTTGCTGAAGTACCTGGTAAACATTCTGCAGTTGTGCTGAAAGATGTCGGTCATTCTGAAATGAAAGCCATACTTGACTATATGTACAAAGGTGAAGTAAATATTGCTCATGATCAATTAGCTGCTTTGCTAAAGGTCGCTGAAATGCTTAAAGTCAAGGGACTCGTTCAAGACAATACATATCAACCACAGAGTGCAACTCCTACCGTTGACGAAGACCGTAATATAATAAGTACTTCGTCTCCTAATCACGTATCACCAGATGGAAATACGAGTGCATCCAAAGATCTCGCCATCAATATTAACAATAATAATGAGCACAATGATTCACCCCCGCATAGTACTGGTATTACTCACCAATCGCCTTTCTACAACAAAAACTATTATGGGAAATCGCCACCATTAGTCGACCACAGACCTGGAAGAAGTAACGTTCCGATGTGGCCAATGCCTGCTATGCAGTTGTCTTCAACACCAGTGACAAATGCAATGTTTGGTGGAAGTTATGACTCGATGATTGCTGGACATCCGGGAATGTCACCGTTGCGTCGCAAGAAATTATCCAGCATGATGATGGGCCGGGATACACCTATATTGAGAACTGTACTTGGACAGGGACAAGCTGATTCCTCACAGCAACTTGCTCTACCATTATATGGTTCTGAAGCAATGGAACATCATAGACCACAGTCTAATGGATCTGAACATAGCAGCCAATTTTCAAAGGTCAGTATCTATTTTAATATTTTCCTTATAATATATTATACACAAAACTTAATATGTTAAATTTATTGCAGATTAAAATTGAAGGATCAGAACCTCATTCTCCATATCCACCTGATATGTCAATGAATGATGATGAAGAAATTATAAGGGTAAATATTAATATACATAATATGTCTATATACAATATACATATACTTATTTATTGGTATATTTCAAACTTTTAAACTTTCAATAATTTTTTCTGTGGACTCAAAATTTTTGTTTTTTTTTTTTGGTTTTGCTTATTCAAATTATTTTTATTCCTTTTAAAATTTGAATCAACAAAATTCGACGGTACCTATGCTTAAACCATTGTTTAACATTCAAACTTTTTTTTAGATGGGAAAAATGAATAATTCGTCCTCACCTCAATCTATGTATGGCGATTCAAAAAGTAATTATAGTTGAAAATTTAATTCTATTTTTTAGCTTTAAAAAATGTTATATATTATTATACGAAAATTGTATACATATTAACATAAATTATGTTACTTCATTAAACAGGTGGTATTGTGACTCCAGGAATAGCAACTTATGTCCCATCTCATAAGCCTGAGTGGAAAAGATACAAACAGTACACACGGCAAGATATTATGTCTGCAATAGATGCTGTTCGAACTGGCATGAGTGCATTACAAGCTTCTCGAAAATTTGGAGTTCCATCTCGTACTCTCTATGACAAAGTGAAGAAACTTGGTATAACCACAAGCCGTCCATTTCGTAGATCAGGTGTCAACAATGGCAATCTTGGCTTTGCATATGGATTAGGTCCAGGTACTAGCAGTGTGATGTTCTCAGGACAAATGTCCGGAGCTGAAGATGAATCCGGTCATTCTACCGCCATGGAACATGCAACTGCTGGTTTCTTACATCACGCTCTTGGATTATCTGGAGTGCCTTTAAAATCAGATCATGAAACTTCTAACAATGGGCATTCACCTCGTTCAGATAGGATGGATGATGGAGGCTCACCCTGTAGCCCAGAATTAATTAAATATGCTGGACACAGAGAAGACACACAATCACCAACTCCGACAGACAATGATGACCAAGCACAAGATTTATCAGTGTCTCGTAAATCAGAGTCGTCAATGCAATCAACACCTACATCTAGAATTATTATGGCGCCGATTAGTCAAACGCCCTCTGTACCCATGTTAGCCGCTGGTAACGATGATAGGGACTGAAATGGTGGTTTACATTGGATGGGCAGTATGTGCAATCCTAATTCAATAATTGAATTAAACTGAAACCCACATCTTAGTTCTAGACTATTTGGAGTCAAACCTTTTTTAGGTTTAATAATGTCCTTTTAAAATTTGCATTAATGATAAAAGACATACCAGGGTGTTGGTACAGAAAAGGTTGTACAGTTAAATTGAGAAATTGTACTTCAATATTCTCTTGGATTTAAATTATTTTAAAATGTTGACTCTATTTTTTTAAAAATTATTAGTTTTTGTTTTTTGGGTCAATCAATCTTGCTAATTTTGGGTATAACCTTGATTTAATTACGTACATTTTATTTACAATTTTAATTTTAATGTGAATTCCAAGTCTGAAAAAATTTAAATCAAAAACATTGTTTCAGGTAGCTAATTAAATGGTTGTTTTTTACATCAGGTATCAGGTAACATTTTTATAAATGCCATTTAATCCCCACAACTGCTCAATTATCGTTATTTAAGAGTTCCTTGTATCAAAATATCTACCTAAAATTGTCGGTACCGATTGTAAATAACTGAATAATTACAAATGCTTATCCACTCTATTTTCACTTAAATGATTCCCTCCATTTATTATTATTTTTATTAATATTCATGAAACAGATATCTCAAACCGCATAAGACTGCTACTTGTTAAAATATTATGTAGTTAAGTAGTAATAATATACTATAGTATATTATGTTTTGTTTAGTTAATTTAAACCAAGGAGACTGTATTTAATGTTAAATAATCTACACTGATACTTCTAAATAATGTACAACTAATGTGTTCATGCAGTTCTATGTCTTAATGTTACACAAACATTGTTAGAAGCTTTATATTATATTCAATGCTCAGTGTATCATAGATGAAAATCATGTGTTCATTAGTTTTAGCAAACACTATTTTGGGGGCCAATATTATATTTGTATAATTCAGTTACATTTCACATAGTTAAATAATAAGACTGAGTAGCCTTAATTTTAAAAGAACTGATACACATTTTGACTGGTTTGATTTAAACATTCTCAGCTTTGTTCCTACTGAGGTTTATCAATTTAACTACAAATTGCAATAGTATATTATTTATGATGTCTACAGGAACAAAGGTGTGAATTCAAGACTGAGTTGGTTTTTTGTTAGGAAAAAAAAAACATTTAACTTGAATAGGGTTTAATAATTATATAATTTTAATTTTTGGTCATCTGTTATTGTAATATAGTTAATTGAATAAAAAAGTAGAAAATTCATATTTGAATTTACTTGTCTGGGTAGGATGCAATTTAGACAAATTGGACTTTGTCGATTTTATTTATTTGACTTTTATTTGTTTTACACAAACTAGTATAAATCCTTGAAATATAATTTAAAGTAAAATGCTAAAAAATAAATTACTAATTTTAATTTTGTTTATATAGAATTAAAAGCCTTCATATTATTAAAAGTATTTAAATAAAATAAAAAATATAATTAAAAACGTATCTCATGTTTACGAACTTTCATTGTACATTTTATTATATATTACTATATTGGTATTAAAGACTTATGTTTTTATTTAATAATTGTTTTTGTTTTTGTTCGAGTTTTTTTTTAACTTTGGGCTTCATTAAGGGTATTTATTGTAATGCTAATTAAAAGTTTAGATTTATATGACATGTTGTTAAAATTATATTTACTATTTATTCCTTTTTATTTTTGCAAGAATTGTTCAATTATTTTGGTAAATTGAAAAATTTATGTTTTGCGTTTTTGTTTATATCATAGGATTTTTACTATTTAGATTAAAATTTGTATAATGTTAATTAAAATTTTTGTATTTAATATTAAAAAAAATGATTTTTATTTATTTATTGTAAATGGAAGTTAAAATGATATGTGCTTGAGCTTAATACATTTACATTTGTGGAATATAAGGTTTAAAAATAAATTATTTAAGAATATTATGTTTTTCATTTGTACTAATAATACAATTGCAAATTTTAATGTTTTAAATAAGTGTTCTATAATAAGTTATATTTTTTTAATGATATGTTTTAATAGTTTAGATAGTTAGACTTACTATGATGATAATTATAATACTATTATTATTTTGACTTAAACCCAGTTATAATTTTTTTAATCTTTTTTAACTAATTTTTTTTAGGAAAATTGTTTATTAGGTATAATAATAAAATTTATAAATTATATTATATATTAATAATATTACTATTTTATCTCATTTATTAGAAGTGCTTATTTTTTCTTACATTGTTTTGTTACATCATATACAAATTATTATCATGTATTAATTATTTATTTATTTTTTTTATTATAAGACTGAATATTGTTCTAAGTTTGTCTAACATAATTGATATAAATGTGTTTTCTTCTCTTTAAATCTTATAAAAATACGTATAGGGTTCATCCTTTGTAACAATAACTAATATGTTGTAGTAAGTTAGGTTTAGTAGTAAATCTTCATAGTTATATACTTTATAATATCAGCTATACATCTGATAAAAAAAAAAATTCTATATAGAGCATGGTGTGTGTTTCATACTATCAATTATCATTGTATAGTTTAATAGTTATACATGTATTATGTAAATAATATATGTATTTTATATATATAAATAAATAATACAGACTACCTATCTATTTCATATTTTTTAAATGTAAATTCTTAATTTAATGGTAATAATGTAATATGGTTGCAACTTACAATCGTCAATCAGCCAATACTTTTTATTATTATATAGACACAATAATATAATATATATTATGTATAACCTTTATACAATTTATTAAATTTGTAAGAGTTAAACAATAATTTATCCTTACATATTAAATATTACAGCACAAACTTGACAGTTTATTTTTAGTCGTATAAAAATCTTTAAAATCCATATGACTAAAATGACATATTTGTATTGAATCTAAAATCTAGGGAAGCAATATTGGTAAATGTAACTATATAAGTAGCCAGTAGGAAGGTATTTAAAAATTATAATAATTTAATCAGTGTTTGATTGAATTTGTATACAGTCATATAAATAGTGAGATACAGAAACATAATTACTAATTTCTATATATTTTGTAATTAGTCATCACCACAATCTGTTACATATCTTTATTTAAACAAGAAATATTATTGTTAGATGTAAAACAACAGATAAAAGAAATGTATGTTTACAATGGAGCGAATTCCCTGGTTTTTTTTAACAAGAGCACCTAAGCATTTAATAATTTTTGATCTTCCATGTGGTGAATTTAGTTTTTACTATAATATTGGTACATTACAAGCTACAACTCTATAAGGCTGCAGGACTTACAAGTATGTGGATTTCTAAACATTCACCAAAAGCAATTTTGAAGGGATGCTAAAGTTCCAATTGTGTTATTGTAAAATCATCGCAAACAGGACATCATTGACAATAATTTCAAGCATAGTGAATTGTTGAGTTCATGTGTACATTGTATATTTGTATATGGCTAAATGGATTTATACGCACAATATTGTTTATTCTGAAAAAGTTATAACAATTTATCAATACTTCAATAAAAAGGTTTTATTTTTTTAATAAGATAAATAAGACCCCCACTAGTTACTGTTGTTTCAATCGCAAAAATAATGATTACCGAGTTATAACTCATTAATAAATAATTGTAATTTTGATTTATACTATAATTGTCTAGTCTTATTTTATACTTGCCCAGGTACGAAATTCTTCACACTATCACACCGATTTTGTGCAAAAAACTGGACCAATGGTGTTTAAATTGTGTCCGCGTAGAATTTTGCACTGCTTTATGTGTTTGCACAGTGTCCTGTTAATAAAACTGGATCAATGGTTGAATGGTGCTAAGATGTCAAATGGACGATGGTGTTGAAAGTCTATTTTAACTAATATTTGAAACCAAAAAATACATTATGCTCGTGGTAAAAAATAATTCACTAGCTCACTCTAGTGGCCAATTTCTAAGACAACAATAAACTTTCGCAAGACTGTTACCCAGAAATAACTTTCAATCGTATAAACATTTTAAATCTCAGCAGTTACCTCATTACCGAATATCATGAAATTAGATATATCCATGCAGAATACCAATGTACATATGTAGTAGTAGTAACTAGAAGTCACACTTGGTGTTGAATAGCGAGGCAATATTTTTATATTATATCTACATCGTGGTTATTGCAAATTTAAATATTTTGATAAAATTATTGAAATAACGGGAAGGAACAATTTCCGATTGGGACCTGAAATTTTTTTTTTTTTGTGTTCAGAAGTGTACAGCACAAATCCTTAAAATAGTCACTCAAATTCATTTTTTTTTATTATATTAGTATATTACACATTAAAATATTGTAGTACATACACAATATTAGAAGAACAAGCGTATGTGAGGTGATAGTTAGATTTAGGTGTACACAAAAATAAATTAATATGTGCAAAAGAATGGAAGTGTGTGGTTGGCCCATCGTCTAGGCATTGACCATGTTATGCACTGAGTGATAGCCCCCCCATACCTCCTGCATGTATTGGGTGGGTAGGTTACGGCGTTGGTTCCGATTATCTACCCACTGTGGTGGGATGGGTAATCCCGCGGCTGGTGATATCATACACCATCTTGTATGGTCTGCATCTGAGCCGGAATCTTTCATGAGCTGGGAACAAAATAAGCAGGCTTCTCCGAATAAGTCATGGGAATTCCGTGCTAACGATGTTGTATTTATAGTTGACATTAGGTTTGTTTGTCTTTCAATGGTTAGGGGCCGACTAACTATTGTTTGCGAAGCCGATCCAGCTTCACTCAGTGTTGAGAAATTCACTTTTGAAATTTTGAACCCTTTAGAACCCTTTAAAATACTTGATATACTCATTAATAACGTTAAATTAATAGCAGTGTTAGCAGGGTAGTCAGGGAAATGGCTTGCACTAATATCCGCACTAAAAGCTATATTTTTAGCGTCTTGGTGGCGGTGTGGGTTGAGCGGCCTGAAGCCAATTAGGTTATTGTTTGGCTGTAGACTTTCATAGGTCACGACAGACTGATAAGGGCCGGCAGGTTCATCACTAATTGCGTGCATTATTGCCTCGGAGAGCACTCCAAGACAGGGAATCTCCTCATACAGGTTGTGCAGTGAGTCGTCGATTCCTGGCCCAGGAGGCTTAAGTACCCCGTAGTAGCCTCCCCTACCACCAATTTGTTCTTGGGGAAGGGTAGGGAATGTGGCTCTCAGATGCTGTTGAGTAAACGTCACCACATTACCGAGCTGATTCAACTGTAACATGATGGGCTCAGGAACATTGAAAGTTATGTGCTGGATCATATATAGTACCTGTTTCTCTACGTCATCAAATGGTTGGAAATTCCTCCGATTAATTGATATCATGCGCATCCAAATACATGCAGTACTGCAGTAGTATAGTAGTCCAAAAACTCGGGCAATAGGCTTTTACTCAGGGATAGATTGGCGGTAAGTAACTCAGAATAGACCAGGCGAGACACGTCAATGGCTGCTGGAGTGGATGGTGTGAATAATGGTACTTTAAATTCCATTATACTAAAATCCATGTTTAATTGTACACAAAGATTCGATAAGATAAAACTTAAATTAACACTGATTATATCGAATAACTTGAGAAAAGATAACGGTCGGATGCGATGCGATAGCACTATGACGGAGCGGCAGCGGTTAAACCATAGAATATAGATAGTAAACGCAACACACTTCGGCGATGAAGGCTGACGTCCAAATTGGAGTTGGTAAGCGCAATGCAATACGAGTCTACAACACACTTATACACGCTAAAAACTAAGACTGTTTAAATGTAAGCAAGTAGGTAGGAAGGTAAAATGTTCAGACCTTACTAATCGTGTTGCCATAAAAACGTAGTTCGAAGTACCGAGCATATAGAAATTGGAAATGGCGTGGTACACTTATACAGTCATACCACAATAGAAATAATCTGTATTCTTATAAATTATAATGTAATAATAATATTATATATGTATATAATATAAAGACCTAAAGTCTACACTTCGTTCGCCGAGATATTGTGGTTACTTCGAGCATACGACTAGCGCAGTGGAGCAGCAGTGCCGATGAGTGGGAATTTGGGTGTGTGGCTGCAGCAGGGTAGGACACATTTCGGCTTATGCGCAACCACATTTCTCGGCGACGAGACTACAGAGTAATTTATTATAATATCATCATAATTCATGAATCATGACTAATCCAGTGGCGTATTTAGGAATTTTGCTAGGGGGGGGATGAAATATATAATAATACATCCTAACACCCATAAATCCGTACATAATATACATTTTTAAAATCCCCTAACTTGTTACCTATTGAGGTTAGTGTGGATCAAGGCAAAATAAAAATTAACACAAATAATATATAAGTACCTAATAGCATTTATTATAAGTTCATACTAGCACCAATCCCGTGTTTAATACGATAAAAAAAAAAAAATAATAATAATAATAATAATAAAATATATATATATATATATAATATATAGTTACAATACAAAATCCAATTTTCTGTTTTTTTGGATGCTCAGTTCATCGATAACCTCATCAGGCATGATTTGTATCGACCGGTGACATGCCAATAAAGCCAACCCATTAAGTCGGTTCTTATAAACAAAGTATATAATAATTACTAATTTATAATTATATTTCAGTATTAAATAAGAAAATTGATAAAATATTTACTTCTGTCATACTATTTCTTAGGTAAGACTTAATCCTCTTCAAACTTGAAAAACATCGTTCAGGTGTAGCAGTCGATACAGGCAATGTACAAAAAATTTTCAAGAGTTCATGAATATTTGGATAAAACTCTTTATCACAAACATCCAACGCATGTAACCCAGAGGTGAATACAATTTTTTCATTCACCAACTTAACTCTCCACATCTTTAATTCAGCAATGCTAGAGTGTTGGTCAATTGTTGATGAATAAAACTCAACAAGCTTTTGAAAAGCAACAATATCTTCCATTTCTACCATAAGTGATTCTGATTGGAAAATGCAATTAAAACCTATAAAATAAATTATATGTAATAGGTATAAAGTTGCAAATTCTAAAAAAAAGTGTATAAATATTAAATATAATACATATAATATATTTACCTTCAAATATAGCTTTATGATTAATAAATCGCTCAGTCAATTGCATTAAATAGTAATCGACATACGGTAAAAATACTGTAACACAATAATAATGTTCAATGGAACAATCCAGAAGATTTGGATTATCTCTCAAAGTTTGTTTTGAAATGACTCTCTTTTTTTTTAATTCAATACCAACATTGTCTGCAGCCATCTAGAAGATAAATATTAAACATTTTGAAATTTGAACACAATGAAACTATTTTTTTTTAATTATTTACTTTAACATTTATTTAGATTTGACTAAATTCGGTTTTGTAATTGTCTCTAATGGCCTTCAGAGTGATTACTACATTCTCAACTATAGCTATAGTTTTTTTTAAATCTATTTGTACTTTTTGTAACTGCTTACATAGAGGAAGACAAAAAGAAAATAGGAACTGAAAAAAAATTTAATTAAAACACTAAGTAGGTTATAAATTGTATAGTAAAAAATTGAAACATTTATGAATACCTTAACTATATAAAACGAAATTAAGAATTCGGTATCTTCCATAGAATGTTTAAGCATAGAGGCGTCTGCTGGATCTTTCCAATCACATATTGTGTCTAATGCTTTAAGAACGAATGGATAGAGCTCAGAGAAATCGTTCACTGCATCATACCGTTGTTATATCATATTAAGAATATTAGAGAAAATGAGACAACTTAGCTACCTAGGAAAAAAAAAAGGTCAAGGGGGGGGATCTATCCCCCATATCCCCCCCCGTAAATACGCCACTGCACGATTAAATACTGTAAATGGCAATACGGAAAAAATAAAGACGAACTGTAGTTTTAATTTTGGTTTAAGATAAAAAATCTGAAAAAAAATAAATTAAAACCTAATCAATGGAGGTTGACTGTGCTCATAGACCTTATACTAGTATGACTGTGCTATCTATTCCTCAAATATTGTAGTTGCCTATATTGGCGCCTTAAAGTAAAATAATATATTCCGCCTAAATAAATAATTATTATTTATAGGAGTAAACTCTTTATGTTTTATTAATAATACGAGTATTACAATTATAATAGTTTGTATTTGTTTATTCGTAGTCCCTGATTAGTTCAAAAAGTACTGGGACTTTTTTATTTTAATTCCCCAAAGTACAAACTAAATTCAATTTGGTATCAGTAACTACACCCCAAGTTGAATATAAAAGATTTTTTTTTACTATTTAAACTTTAAGGTGTTTCTAGACACAAAAGTAAAATTCATTACATTGAAAAATTAAAATGTAATAAATCAAAATGTACTACATTTTTATGATGCGTTTATTTCCATATCAACATTTACATTATATTTTTATAATGATATAATAAGTATTTAAAAATATATATTGTTTTATTGATAAAGAAAATGAAGTACATTCAAATAGGTGCCTATATCCTAATTAGAAATTTCTTATTTATTAATAAATTATTGTTAATTAGAAAAATGAAGTATACTATAGTTATTAGGTAGGTAGAGAAAAATGTAAACAGATATCAATTAATACAATTTTGTTTTTAAATATACCAGAAACATGCATTGTTTTATCAAAAAGCAAATTAAGTAAATTCAAATACCAACATAAATATATACTAATTAATATAATATCATATGTATCATTAAATGATGGTAGTTGGAAAAATTAATTTCAGTATAGGTATTGAACAATTTAGAAAAGTTGGACGGTTTTAAGCAAAATGTTCAGACACAAGTTTTTATTTACGTATATTAAGAACAAAAATATAAATATTATAGTTATTTCATCTAACAACTATTAAAAAAAAGCTATTTATTAAAACACCTTAACATATCTTCTGTTTTTTCAGTTTTTCATACAACTCATTTTAAGATTGCTTTCTTTCAATACCACTTTCATTTTCATCAGACTTTAAATTTGATGAGTTTTTTATATTTGCTAGTAATTGTGGTATAGGTATGTTTAAATCTGTTAATTTGTTTACATTTTTGCAAATATTTTCTATAAAGTTATCACAGCTGGTCACTTTTTGGAACTGATGATAGTCTTCTTGTGTAATTGATGTGTCCATTGTTAGATTCATATCTTTATTCTGAAGTGATAGTTGTTTTGAAGTATTATCATAAAAATTAAAGTTAGGGTTATGTTTTTGTTCATCTTCAAATTTCCCAATTATATTGTCTTTCCTCATATTTTTTATACACAATTGTTCATCTTTAAAATTATCTATAGAAGGAATTCTTTTGTTAGAACATAAAGATGCTAGCTCAGAATAAATATCATTGGATTTATCAATATTTAGTGCAGTGATGACACAACCTAGAAAAACTGAAAAGTTATTAAACTTTTCTATAATTATTAATGATCCCTTTTCAGTATTATTTTGAGAAGTTTCCAAAAGCGGTCATATATTCTTTAGAAGATTTACTAATACTCATAAAAAAATTAGCATACTCAGGAACACTAACATTAACACAGTTTAAAGGGAAAGATGCCGGAATAATGTTGAATTGAATATCAATTGATAAACTCATAAGCTTTTCATTAGCCAATTCGTTGGTTTTGAGTTCTGTATTATTAACAATTGAATCCTTATCTGAAACTTTTTTCACTTCTTTTGATACAATATTACAATTATTTAATGCTTATTCTACTGGTCTTCTGGTCTTAAAGTTTTTAAACTTTTGGATTTAATATTGGAAAACCTTTGTACTTTTTAAAAAAAAGCTTTTTGGAAGAACTGTGTACATTTTCCTTTACTAAAATTGCATAATTTTTTTTTCTGAATTCTTTAAAATGTCTTTATTTGAACTTTTAATTATCAATGAAATATTATTAACAATTTATTATGTTTTTGTTTTAAAATTTGTGTTTAAGGTATTTATAATATTATGAGTTAAAAAATTATCTATGATTTTTAAATAATCATCTCTTCTTTCTGTCAATTTTTTTTTTCAAAATAACTTCTCATTTATTATATGACATAATATTTTTATTATTATTATTTGTTTTAGGTTTTGGAGATTTAGGAACTTTAAATACTGGTTTAGACTTAACTAAATTGATAGTAATACCAGGTAATTGTTTTAACTTCTTTAATATTTTTCTATTTTCTGTATCATTGACATCAGTTATACTTGTTATTGTTACTTCTTTTGAAATGTTGAAATTTAAAGGAACTATTGGTTGTTCTTTCTTATAAATCACTGATTTTTTGTTTCTAGAAAAAAATTTAAAAAAAATTTAGATACACAATATTTATAAAGCCGCAAGAAATCAATAGAATTATAAATAGTGAAAATATGATTTTTACACAATGTACCTATACTTTGTTTAATATTATATATTTATTTGTTACCCATATGTATATTTTATTTACCCAGTGGTGCATAAGTGTTTAAAATATACTATGACATTATACATTAAGAGGCCCCCACCATCCTCCTTTTTTTTTTTAATTTAACAACTAGTTGCAAATCAAAACGCCCACCTAATACAATGTTTAATTATTTATTTATAATTTTAGCTGAACCAATTTTTAAATACAAGTTTTGAAATGTGTTGAAGAATGTATTTATTTAAGATTTTAAACAATGATGTTTATTTTTTGTCTATGTACAATGTACATGGTCAACAGTAGAGAGATTAATTTTTAAATTTTAAGAGTGGTTTCTAATAGAAAATTGGTTGGAGATATTTTAGATAGTGGATACAAATATAGTTTATACTTTTGAGAGATGAAATTTGAAAATGCTCAGTTCTTTTTTAAAATGTTGGAGGTAAAAAGAAAAAAAAAATAAGAAGTACATAAACACAGTTTTTTTATAGATAGTTTAATTTCAAATTTGGATTAAAATTAGATATTTAAACCAAGAATAATAATTTTAGTTATTTTGTTGTTAATTATTTAAAAGTACTGTTCACACTGAACAAAATTTTTTTTAAAAAATTGCCTATATATTGTAGCCGTTATTAATCATTGATATATTGTATTTATTGATCATTAAAGTTAACATTATTTGAACGTATAACTCTGAACCTCTACAGTACTCTACGGGAGTTGTCCATCTATATAATCTACTATGAAATCTGCCGTCGATAAATTAGCCATTAGGTGATCAGCGGCACTGTATTTACTTATGGAAAATATACTATATAAATTATGAATGTTATGATACCAAATATTGTATATTTAAACTTATTCAAATTTAAATTAATAATTACCTAATTAATTTTACAAAATGTAACAAAATTATATAACAGTTAGATCATAAAACAACACACATTACATTATATTATATAGGTAACAGTGTTAACATCAGGGAGTTAGTTCAGAGGGTGCCAAATTAATCTCAACTTATTACTAATTTAATATTTCTCCATGTAAATAATTTATTAAAATTTTCAATTTGATTTAAATAAATATTTCCATTTTATATGCTCTAGACTCCAGTGCCCCACTATGTTATTTTAAAAAATGGGATCATTATACATTTATTTCCATTAATTATTTTAGATAATAAGCAGTGATGAATGTATTGATTTTAGAATGTTTTGTTCTATTACTTATTAATTATTTATTTTTGTGTTTGTCTTCACTTATCAGTTATTACCTTTTAGAGCAGTAAAAGGTCTATGACTATACATATGAATCTGAAATGTGGACTCTGTTACTTACCATATACCTATTATATTTATCATTACCTATATTAATTACTTGAATGATACATAAAAACCATATTTCAATTAAGGTACTTATCTAGATAATACAATTTTTCAATACTTTATATCTCGATCCATTGTTTTTGAAGATATTTGTGATGTTTTTGGGATAGGAAACAATTTTACTTCTGAGTTTCTAACATTTTTACACACCTGTAAAAATAAATAAGCAAATAAAGGAAGCAACCATTGAACATTTTATTAGTTTATTACCTACTTTATTACCACAGACTATACTACTATAATATAGTCTGTGACATTACTATGTACTTACTGGTCATTACTGTGACTCTGTAGTTTATTGTTCGATTATATTAAATATTGTTTAGGAGGATGCAACACGTCTCCGTCTTACAATTGTGTAACATTGCAAATTTTATATTCAAAAGATCACATTTAGCTTTGTTAGTTTAAAACTTAAAGTGAAAATTAACTTCCAATATAATTTAAAGGTACTTACGATTAATATCTAGGGCATCTCATGGGATTTTTGTTATATCTCAATTTTAAAGCAAGTTATGACTTATGAGTATTTTAAGATGCACAAAGAATTTACAATTTGAAAATACTCATAACACTTATAAAAATTAAAATACAACAAAAAGCCTCCAAGACTACATAATAATATTACCTTTAAATTGTATAACAAATTCACTCTAATATCCAAACTAACAGCACACTATTGAATCTAGAGAACAAATTTTGCTATATCATTTGTGTGTAAGATGAAGACGACAATTAATGATTGTGTAACTTTTATCATTGATTTTGTAGTTATAATAATATCATAGTCTCAATAGTGTAGTGTTGTACACTTGTGCTGATGTATCGAACCACTGTGTTAGTGAATCTGTTTTGATATTCACAGTTCATGCATAAAGTAAACGGGTTTTAGTATACTTTAAAATTATTTATAAAATGCCTAATTTGAACTTAAAACGTAAAAGATAAAGTGGTTCTCAAAAAAGAAATCTAAAAAAGAAAGAGAAGAACAGTTAAATAATAAAACTGAAAAATTAGCAGAGTTCAGAACGTTAACTAAAAAAATGTGTTCTCATTCAAGTTCGTTTTTTTCAAATGAACACTTTCATTGTTTTGTTCTATTATTTATTATTTATTATTTTATAATTGGAATTAAAATAAGAAAAAAATATTGTATAAAATAATTAATTAATATATTTTAATCACAATATATTTATTAAATGGTAAGTAAATTGAGTTAAAAATCATTCAAATTCATTAAAATATAAAAATTGTTCATTTGTATTTGTATCTGGTTCATGTCTTTATTCTTTATACATATATATATATTGTAAAAGAAGAAAATATTTGTAGGAAGACCAGATGACTGATGAGTAAAAATAGTTTTTTGTAGGTAAAATACTAAAATGTTTCTTCTGAGCTTAGCGAGAACATTTTTTTTTTTTGGTTATTTACTTGTAAGTCTGAACAATACTGAATTAGTGGTGTGATTATTAGGTTTGCTCCCCCCTACATTATTCCTTAATACGGCCCTGATAATTTAAAAATAAAACGGTTGTGTGTACGATACTTACAAGTTACAAGCAATGGCATTGATGGTTTCTGACCATTTGCATATTGCATGACTTTGTTGTGCAGTTGATTTTTATTGGACGCGTTACGTAAATTAAATTTTTTTTCCTAGTGGGTAAACGAATAAAAAATAAATTGTTGATTACTATGAAAACCCAAGATGTTTGTAAGTAAACTGGACGAAAAAAACAAAAGTTACCAGACGTTTTAACAAGACTGACACAACTTACAACAGTTACAACGGTGGACAGCTGAGTACGAGACATAAAATGAAAGAGCCAAGAGCTTGCGCCTCGCAGTCCGGATCTTGGACCATTATAGACCATAGAGTATAGACCAATGACAACCTTGTTATAGGTGACGTGCGGTTGTCAATCGTATTTCGAAAGTTTTGCAGGGTCCTTGGATATTCTAAGACCTTGTTGGAGAAGAACGTTCTGAAAATAAAGGGGTAGTCAGTTGTAGTCACCGACAAAACCTGCCTGCATCGATAAAAGATGGATATTATCATATTATTATTATATTCGTATTTTGTATTTTTCTTTTCGTTTTCTCCAAAATGTCTGACAACACGTTGACCATTAACGCAATTTCCGTGTGGCGTGTATTACACTATTACTTACTGTTACCAATTGACTATCCAAAGTATTATACATAGCCACATAGATGTTTTAATCTTGGAATAATAGTTACCCTTAGTTACCTAGGGGTCCACACACATTGCAGCTGTGGCGGTAAAATTCTTTAATGTTGGCGGTGCCACTGCGGTGGAGGTAGATTGTGTCCAAAGTTCCGGATTCATTTTACCTCTACCAATGCATACCTAATACTACGGTGTTTACTGTAATACCTAATCTTTAATCTGTAGCATTTGCTATATAATATAAATTATAATGCTACTAGTTATTACGAATAAACGATGGCACAATTTTTAAACTGAACAACTCTTTACTTCTGTTTGTCTGGGTATTTAAACGTCCCCCCTTCCCCCAATTTAATAAACCCGATGTCGACAGAATGAAATTTAATTATTAATAAGGTCATAATTAATACTTAATAGTTAATAACAAGGACTGATTAGCTGACTCTATCTCGTAACTTTGATGTTTGTGTTAATGTGTAATTCTGTCCAAATTTGAACTTAAAATTCTGTAAATAATAACTGTATTTATAATTTTTTTAAATTTGTTGGTTGTCGAATTACCTACTTACATAGAACCTTGTCTTAAATTTTCAACGCATTGCTATAAAAGTTGAACAATTTATAAATTTGTAACAACAAAATAATCTGTAAATTTTTAATTTGATAAGTTTTGTCAAAATGTGAACTTTAAATGCCTATAAAAAAATCATGCATATGTATTTTTAATATTTTTCAAGTGCTGCTGTAGTGCTGTAACATTGTATTCAAGGGCGCACCCAAGGGGGTGGCTAACGGGCTTTAGCCCCCCCTCCCCCAAATGGCTAGCCCCAAAACATATTTTATTAGGTTTATTGACAATTGACATTTGACTTTAAATTATTATAAAAAAAAATATCAACC